GCCTGCTTCAGATTCTGTCTCTCTCTCTCTGCCCCTCCCCTGCTTGTGCTCTCAAAAATAGACATTAAAAAAAGTTTTGTAGCTTTAGATTTTTCAATTTGTGTCTATGATCCATTTTGAGTTAATTTTTGTATACAACATAAGGATTGAATTCCCCAGCATCATTTGTTGAGAATATATCCTTTGTCAAAAATCAGTCATTCATTAATACAACACTGTTTTTATTATGGTAGCTTTATTTTAAAAATCTTGAAATAGAACAATGTTTATCTGCCAACTTGTTCATCAATTTCAAATTTATTTTAGCTATTCTAGACCCTTTGCATTTTCAAATTTTTAAAATATATTTGCCAATTTCTCACAAAAAATGACTACAGGGATATTGATTTTTGGTTAATCAAACGGAGGGAATAAAGTACACAGACTTTGCCACCAATTGAAGGTCAGTTCTCCCATCTCAAGGGATAGAAAACCCATAACCAGCCCATAATGGCTAAAATTATATAGACCTCAAAATACCAGTGCCTGGATATCAGTTGAACATAAATTAGGAATGGCCACACAGGAGCTGGCAAGACTTTTTAAAGTGAGCCACAGATTGAATGCCACAACCCCTAGGTTCACTGCTCTCTACTCAGCTCCTTCTTTGATACCAACCTCTTTCTGTTTGGGGGAAGTGAAAAAGGGGACAAGGCACAAGGCAGAAATGAACCATAACTTTAACAAGCCCCTTTCTAACTTTCAAGACCTATGCTAAGTCCCACCTTCTCCAGAAATAATTCTCTGACCCTACCAGCCCAATATGTGCTAAACATGATGAGGGTTCTTTCTATACACATCATCTCATTGAATCCCTATAGTAATCTATGAGGCATGTATAAGGAAACTAAGTATCACAGGAAGTTAAATCTGTCCTCATGGCTTCAAAATGACAGAAATAGGAAGGAAGCCCAGATCTACATAACTCCAAAGTCATGCTCCCTCTTTTTTCAAATGTTCATTTATTTATTGGGGGGGGGGGGGGTTGGGGAGGGGGAGAGAGAGAGAATGAATGAATCCTAACCAAGCTCCATGATGTCAGTGCAGAGCAAGAACTCATGAACTGTGAGATCATGACCTGAGTCGAAATCAAGAGTCAGATGCTTAACCAACTGAGCCACTCAGGCACCCCCAAAGCCGTGCTCTTAAGCCCTTTCTACGTGATACCACCTCTCTAGTGTCACTCCTTTTCTGACCTACAATGGTATGGACTTAATCCCACTCAGTTGGGTTATTTGATACGCTTGTAGTGTTAAGTTTTTATTGATTATATGAAGTATTTCCCCAACTCCATTGATAGTTACTTGAAGCAAGGAATGATATCTTGTACTTCTCCATTTCTCTTATGGGGCATATGGTATAGTGAGGTATACTCAGTGATTAAACACTTGTCCATTCATTGTGGGGAAAGAAAAAAATGTAGTGATTGAGTTCAGAGAATAAGGAAAAGAAATTTAAATATACTGAATAGAAGCCATATTTCATTATTTTAATCAAACCTGTTTTGATCAACTCTATTTTACTGCTTTGTGGAAGGTACTGTCTTTGGTAGAGGCAGTGTCTTTGCTTCTGAAATTAGTAAAATTGAAGTGATGCACCCAATTCTGCACACCATCTGAACAATGGAACATAGATTCCCTACACATTCCCTTTCCAAGTTTTATTCCATTCCTGCCTCACATAATTGGCTCTCTGATTCCAAGCCAGATCCACAGTTAAATCTGGTTCCAAAAGGCAGGGTTTTTTCCACTATTTTTCTTGAGTGTGTGTTTTGAGAAATTTAAGGTCATTAAGTAGATCTAAAAGAGAGGAGATTGCCAAGTTTCAAAAGGGCAAGAACAGTCTTTGGCCTCACACCAGTGAATGATATACCATTTCGTGGAGTGGGAGGAGGGAAGGTGGTGTCCAATGGACGAAAAAACTGGACCCAGAACAGATATAAAAACAGAGGAGCCGGGGACTGGAGCCACCATCAGGGAGAGACTCGCTCCCAGTGACTGTAGGGAAGACCGTGCTATTTCCTGCCAAGATGAAGCTGCTGTTGCTGTGTCTAGGGCTGACTCTAGTCTGTGCCCATGAGGAAGAAAACGTTGTGAGAAGCAACATCGATGTTTCAAAGGTAGAGTCTGTAGAGTATAGTAGCGTCTGCCCTTGTGGGGTAGCGTGGAGGATTCTGAAGTAACGTGGCCCTACCAGAGAACAGGAGTTCCTTGATGTATTAGACCAAAGGGGTGGTTTCAGACTTTTGACTAAGAGCAATTGTACCATATTAAAAGAGAACACTTGGGGACCTCTGTTCTTGCTTTAGGGATGGTGGAAAGAGCCCTAGATGTAGTACCAATTGACCTGAGTTCTAATTCCATCTTCACATCATTATTATGAGTCCTGGCACACAGGCCAGGTTCAAGGAGACAAGTATTCCTATGGAGTTCCCTCTCCCCTTTATCTTACCCAATCATTTTACTGATTTATTGCAGATTTCAGGAGAGTGGTATTCCATTCTCTTGGCCTCAGATGTTAAGGAAAAGATAGAAGAAAATGGTAGCATGAGGGTTTTTGTCGAACACATCAAAGCCCTGGACAACTCTTCTCTGGCCTTTGTATTGCATACAAAGTAAGTGTGGTCTTTGTCACTTGGGAGAGGAAACACGGGAGTCTGAATATGGTGTTGGAATTCTGTGTGTGTGAGGGTACACATACCTTCTGGGTTTGTATTAAGAGTCCATTATCTGACACTGATCCAGGACCTGAAGAACCTGGGCCTTTTCTAGATTCAAAGATAAGAATTATGACAGAAACAAATTCAAATAGGAGTAGAGGAAGTACGGACGGGGTAGAGGGTATCAGAATCATAAGTAATGTAACAGTACAGCATAAGTTTGGAGCACAGGACTTGGAATTGACAGCCTGTCTCTCTCTTGAATCTCTTATGTATGACCAAGAATCTTCATCTGTTTCCACCCCAATTTTCCCTTGGGTAAAGAGGATGATAATTCTCTTTAATGGTTTATTTTTTTTGCAAGGACCATGTGAGGTAATGTTTGGAGAGCACTTCTGTGAGAGGCTGGCACATGGTGAACACTAAGCTAATTATCTAGACAGGTAGTTGTAGTGATAATAGTGGGAAGTAGTGGCAGAGTGACAGTAATGGAAGTAGTTGACTCATTCTTAAAGTATCACAAAGTAAAATAATGTAAATAAAAGCTCTTTGGAAACTGTACTCCAAAAATGTTCAACAGTGAAGTGGAATCAGAAACCCAAATTCTAGGTAGAGTGTGAGGGAGCTGGGGCATCAATATCTCTTGGACATCAGCTTATTCTGTTTTACAGAGAGAACGGAAAGTGTACTGAAATATTTCTGGTTGCTGACAAAACAAAGGATGGTGTATATAGTGTTGTGTGTAAGTATATTAAAAAGTCTTTCTAAATTCTACTTCCACTCCAAGAATTTAATAAACGCCAATATCTTCAAGATCTTGACCAATTCCTGATCAATAGCTTATGTACATTATATAAGGAGGGGCCATCTAATAGCCAAATCCTGAATCTGGAAGAACCTTGGGTAAAAAAAAGTCAATGCCTGGCACATAATACCATCAGATAAAGAAGGTACTTTGCTTATATGTACCTCCAGCAAGAAAATTGACAAAATAAGTGGTGGGACAGCTTCTCATTCCCTGCCTACTTTCTGATGATGTCTGCTGGTCATTGCTATAGCACATCATCGCTCAGGATATAGAGCACTGGGTATGTAATGCCAGCGGGCCTATAGAGAGGATAGAGACACGTAGTTGGCAGAAATGGTCAAGGGAGGTGGGTGAGTCTCAGGGAGGATGATAGAGCATAAGTTGCTGCTATGGCTGAATTTTTCTACTAGTAGTCAAATACCAGTATCCCTTGGATGTCGCCTCATGAAGCCCAGGGAGATGTAAATGAAGACATTAAGTATTACTCTATTACTCTCTATATCTTCCAGGATATGCACTTGAATTTGTTTCGTGGTTGAAAATAAGTAAAGGGGTTTCCTTACTTCCCGTGGATCTAACAAGCTCTGACCTATCAAGCTCTGAGAGGCCAGCACACGGTGGCACAAGTTCTGAACTGTGTTCTGTTTCTCCACAGATGATGGATACAATGTATTTAGCATAGTTGAAACGGTCTATGATGAGTATCTCCTGTTACATCTTCTGAATTTTGACAAGAAGAGACCATTCCAACTGGTAGAGTTCTATGGTACGGTATTTTCATGCTGACACTCATCTTGGGGTGGGGAAGGAGGGGAAGGAAGGTAAACCTGGAGACAAAGTGGTCCTCCCAATTTTTATCCTGGAATGTCTCTCCTCCTCTGAAGACAGATGCTCACCTTTGGTAATCTGTCTTCCTGCCAGAACCATATCCTAAAGATGTCAAATTCAAGACAGGTTATTCTGCCTAAGCACCCAATCAGTGCTGTCATTTTTCCATCCATCTGGAGCCACCCCCTTATGAGCCTCAGTGACAAATACATAAGACACAGCAATTACTGTCACTCTCCCCACAGCCCGAGAACCAGATGTGAGTCAAAAACTCAAGGAAAAGTTTGTGAAATACTGCCAAGAACATGGGATTGTTAAAGAAAACATACTTGACCTGACTGAAGTTGGTAAGTATTGTTATTTTCTAGTTTTCTCTTCTTAAATTCCCATGTTACTGAAGGGGGAAAAAAACAATAACAACAACAACAAAAAAACAAGAGAAGGCAGTACCCCCAATTAGTCCCCTTTGCCTTAACCTAGAGAATCATTTGGTTTCTCTCTGGCAAATAAACTGGGTTCGGTGTTTGTATGTGTTCTGTCTCTACAGATCGCTGTTTACAGGCCCGAGGAAGTGAAGCGGCCCAGGACTCCAGGTTGGTGATCTCTGATGGAAAGGGGGTGGCCCTGGGATCAGTGCCTTCCAAAAGCATTAGGAGTTTGTGTCCAAAGATGACAATAAAAATAATTTGGTAAGGAAGCTTGTGAGGAGAGCTTGAGATGTGGAATTGGAGGAGCTGGGTTCAGGACTCATTCCTACCATGAACTTTTGAACAAATGACCTAAGCATTTACCAAGGGAATAATGATGTCTACCCTGCAGAGTTACCATGTGGACATAATGCTGGCAAAAGACATCAGTAATTGATGACATGCTAAAAATCATTAAGACTTAAAATTTGAAATGGAGAAAGGGTAATAGGACACGAGTATGAAACTCACATCCATTTCTGTGTTTATGGTTGGTCTTCCAAGCCCAGAAGGCATTTCACCCTCCCAATTTACAACAAACGTTTCTTCCTTTGATCTTTGTACATCCTTAACTTTTCACCTGGGAATAGAGCTGTCTGAACTTCCAGTTGTCTTTTAAGCTGGAAAACAGACACTGAATCTTCTCATCAGTTTCCTACCTTAGATTTATTGTGGAGCTTCATTCAGATAATGTAGCTTGCGTAAAGCAGACATTTAATAAAAGGTAGCTATGGCTTTGCCGTTATCTCTCAATTTATCTAAATTACCTAAATTATCAAATTATCTAAAACTCTTCAAAACTTCTAGTGCTGAAGTCTAGTGCAGAACAAGCCTTGGATCCTTCATTGCTTTCTTTTTTTCATAGATTCAGTTTGGGGACAATAAATATGAGATCAGCAGTAGAAAAAAGGGGGGGCATTTATTCATTGCCCTCCCTCCCCTATTCTGGCAAATAACATGTTACAATACAGCTTGACATCTACTATTCACCATTTGTCTCTATAACAGAAGTTCTTTTTGCTTCAATTCAATCCAAGGAATGTTTAATAAGTTTCTGTGTTCTCTTTTTCATTTGCTTATTTAGTGTTGAGTGAATGCTTCCTTACCTGGGCTCCAGGATCTTCCCTTCTGTGGTCCCCACACCATCTAGTGACAAGTGCTGTGACCTGATTTCCATCATAATCACATAGGAAAGCATTATCTCTGCATCTTCAGAATCTTCCTTAATTGTCTAGGAAAACATCAACCAACCAAGATTTCAAGATTTTCTCCAAAATTTCCAGCTGTCTTTCCCATGCCCAGGAGAACTCTGTCATGAATAAGAACTTCCTATGCCTGGTCAATAAATGATTAGCCTTGCAGTCTTGTGGTTTGTGTATATGGGAGTGTGGGGCCGACAAAAAGCAAATGGGGGGACCTCCTTGGCTCTGCACCCATAATCCTTCTCTAGCTTCTCAAAATCTTTCCTGAGTTTCTCCCTCTGCAGTAATTGTCTGTCCCCATGAGTGCTGGTTGCCCTTTGATTTGCCTGTTTCTTGGTGATAAGATAAACTTTCCCATAATTTGCCCCGTCTTAGAATTCTCTTTCTCCATGGACTGTTGCTGAGGCTGGTACCAGCTCAACATGTTTCAGGACATGTCCCCATATTTTAGCTTCTCTGTGTCATCCGTCCTATTAGATGGTTAGTGTCCTTCCATACTCTTGGAAAAGTTCCTTCAATCACCACTGTTATCTGTTGTGAACATATTAAGTGAGATCCCATTAAGTGTGAGCAATACCTACCTTCAATAATCTGGGCTTGGTACAGTCAGGAGGCATCAAGGAGGCAAAATGCTATCAGCCTCTTCTTTTGGGAGCTTACAGGGAAAGGGAAAAGGAAAGTAATGATCTTCCACTTACAATCCTTTTGCAACAGTGTAAAACTTATACATGGGTGTTGGGGCAGATCAAGACCTGGGTGGGAGTTGTCATACAAAAAGAATGACTCAGTCATTATGAACGTACGGTTAATTAGGGAGAGCTTTAAAGGCATGTGACCCTCCCCACATCTTACTCTGCCTCCAGGTCAGAAGAATAAGTTAGGTTCAGACTTAATTGCTCCAGACTTAAGCATTTGGTCTTATTGGCTGAAATATGTCAGTAGGCTTTGTAGAAAGTCAACCTGTCATGCATGCGAAGATCCTTTTTTTGTTGTTTAATTGAAGGGTGGTTGACAGACAATGCTGTTATTAGTATCAGGTATACAACACAGTGATTAAACAAGTCTACCAAAATGGAGTAGCCATCTCCCCGATGCCAGAACTCAAGAAAATCTAGGACCTCTCATTTTTAAATGTTAGCACTTAAGGGATAGAACAGCTGTTACCCAGAGGGGCATGCATGGCCCAACATAACCCTGAGAGTGCTTAAGACATTACCAACAATAACAGTGCAAGGAGGGCCACAATGATGATCGATGAGGGAAGATGGCTGGGTGTACCACATGTCAGTCAAGAGGGAAGCACAAAAAGACCCTCTGTTCCTAGGTCAGGATGGCAGCTGGAGCTCACACTGAAACTCTTACCTGTACTTCCCAACTCCCACAAAGTTATTTTCATCCATGAGTGGTTGCTAAAATAGGTGTTTCTGTTGGGGTATGCGATGAGGGGTCACACCGCCTATTCCACCATCTTGCTGATGTCAACCCAGATTAGCTCACCAAAAAGACACAGAGAGAAGGACATTGAGTTTTCAAACCTGTTTTCTAGAGTATCAAATGAATCAGGCATCAGATGAAAGTTATGGTGGAAGCAGCCATCGCAGGGAGCTATGCTATTGTTTCTTCGTACACTGTTCAGGAACTGGAGGGCCAATCCCCTTGGGAATTTTCCACCATCATATTTAAATTCTTAGTTGTTTTTTAATAGTTTCTTATCTCATTGCCCATCAGCACATTCTTGGGTCTGAAAACAAATTGAGCTGATTAAAGGAAGGGAAATAAATCTACTGCAACAAGCACCACAGAATAATACTCCAAATGCAGGCAAATGTGAATTAAGATTACTCTGTAGATCATATGTACCACGTTTCCTTCCAAGAGTTAAAAGTATATGCGAGGAAACTCTGCTTGTGCATCAAATGCAGTGAGGACTCTCTTTGGCATTCAGCTGGACAGGAGAAATGGGTCCCAGATTGATTTTCTGTTCAGTGTAAGAAATCACTACAAATTTAGTGGCTTCAAAACAGCACAAGTTTTGGAGGTCAGAAGACTGACACAGGGCCCACTGGGCCAAAACCAAGTGAACCCCAAGTCTGTCAATTTATTCAGATAATCTTCTATGTCCTTCCTTAGAGTTTTTAAGTTTTCTCCTTAGTAATGTTTTTTATTTATTTTTGAGAAAGAGTGAGCAAGCAGGGGAGGAACAGAGGGAGACAGAGGATCCCAAGCAGGCTCTGTGCTGACAACAGAGAGCCTGATGTGGGGCTCGAACTCACGAATTGTGTGATCATGCCGTGAGCCAAAGTCAGAGGCTTAACCGACTGAGCCACCCAGGCGCCCTTCTCCTTAGTAATTTTCTAATTTTCTGGTGTGTTCTTGGTTGTTGGTTCCCATATACTTTCACTGTTTTTGTTTTCTGGGTTTTTTAACCATTAGTTATCATGAGTTTTTGCTGGTATAGAGAAATGTTATTGATTTTTGTAAGTTGATCTCTTTAGCAACCTTGATGGCATTTTTTTATTACAATAAAATCAATCTAATACTTTGTGGATTCTGTTGGTTTTATAGATATGGTCATATTATCTGCAAATACATGTTAATGTAGGTCTTCCAATCTTTACACATCTCTTTCTCTTTTTTCTCTTTTCTCCCTGTAACATTAGCCAGAACCTCAGGAATACTTTAAACATTGAAACCACACTTTCTTTACTAGGGGTTGGCAAACTGTAGCCCACAGGCCAATCCTTCCCTCTGCCTATTTTTGGATAGCCCGTGAGCCAAGAACATTTGCAATCCATGTGATGTTAGAAACACTAATTTTCAACCCCAATTAAGCAAAATGTTATTCCCTCCTCCAATTCCATTCTTCTAATAGACCTACATTAAAATAAATTATACTCAATATATTTTAAATTTCATCAGAAATATGAAAATATGTTTTCTGTGTTGTTATATTGGTACCTACATAATATTTTTTATTTTCACCTCTTGGCCTGCAAAGCCTAAAATATTATGTGGTCTTTTAGAGAAAGAAGTTTGCCGGTCCTCTTTTCTATACATGGCCTCTTCCCCCCCCCCCCCAAATAAACAGGTTTGCCAAACTGAAACCCTCAGTGCTTTCAGTAAGATGGGCATTCGATTATACATGACTGTGGGATGAAAGAGATATTTATAAGCTGTCCCATTACTGCTCTTCTTCAAATATCATGACTTACTTAAACCTGAATGGAAGAAATTTAGATAAATGTCAAATACACTCCCAGAGTAAATATCAAACTAGGACACCCTGAGGTTATTTGGGGATTTCAAGGACAAGGATAAAGATTCCAAATCTCTATTCTTGGCTTAGAGGACTTTGTCATTTGATTTCTCCTGTCCCAGAACTTTAGTTGAAACTGTCTGTTCCTGGAAGCAAGCCCATTAAGATACTAGCTGTTGTTAAAAATTAGCATTTCAGAAACACTGTTCTGTTGGTTTCAAGAAATTTATGATGGATATGTTTTGGTTATTAGAATAGACAATTTTGGTAAAGAAAGAGGGCTGGAGTGCCAGATTGTTGAGGAGAGCCTGGCCAGGAAATAAGACCTGGTCAACAGCACAGACAACGATTATCCAGCTGCCAGGATTCCCACAACCTAACATAGCTACCTTCATTCTCCACGTTTCTGTCAAGGCTGAATTAGTTATGCACATAATTTTTTTTTTTAATTTTTTTTTTACGTTTATTTATTTTTGAGACAGAGACAGAGCATGAACGGGGGGAGGGTCAGAGAGAGGGAGACACAGAATCCAAAACAGGCTCCAGGCTCCGAGCTGTCAGCACAGAGCCCGACGCGGGGCTCGAACTCACGGACTGTGAGATCGTGACCTGAGCCGAAGTCAGCTGCTCAACTGACTGAGCCACCCAGGCGCCCCAGTTATGCACATAATTTTTTGCATTTTCTAGAGATTTATGTCAATGCTGTCACCGGTATGTATGCTTCTTTTGTTCTGGCTGATTTCAGCTGGCGTAATTATTTTGAGGCTCATTGATTTTGTGCTCGTCAGTAGTCTGTTCCTTTTTATTGCTGAATAGTGTCCTGTTTTACAATGTACTAAAATTTTTAATCTAGCCATCTGTTAGTGGACACTTGGCTTTAATAACTAAAGCACAATGAACATTCACGTATAAGTCTATCTATGGACATGCTTCTTTTGGGTCATACCTAGGAGCGGAATAGCTGGGCCATTTACTAGGTGTGTGTTTAAGTTTTTAAAGAAATTGACAGACTCTAGGGTGGCTGCATCATTTTACGTTTCCATCAGCAGTGTATGAGATTTCCAGTTCTTCCATATCCTCACCAACACCTGGTATTTTAACGTTTATTTTTGAGAGAGACAGAACGCTAGTGGGGAAGGGCCAGAGAGAGAGGGAGACCCAGAATCCGAAGCAGGCTTCAGGCTCTGAGCTGTCAACATAGAGCCTGACACAGGGCTAGATCTCATGAACTGTGTGACTCTGACCTGAAGTCAGAAATTTAGCCAACTGGGCCACCCAGGCGCCCCCACTTGGTATTTTAGGTAGGAAAAATTAATAATGTGTTACACAGAACCCCAAACTTCCCAACGTTCCCTAAAATCCAAGGAAAACACATGAAGTGCCTATATGGAAATGAAACTGGTAACCAAAGGGTTAACAGATGTACTAAGTACCTTTGCAACTTATTACCCAGACCTTTTTTTTTCTCCTTTGCCTTTAAATATCCCTGACTACAGGAAAGAATATCTAATGGAAAGAAGATGGTCTCTTTAGCAAGTGGTGCTGGGAGAACTGGATAGCAACATGAAGGGGAATGAAACTGGACCACTCTCTTACACCATATACAAAAATAAACTCAAAATGGATGAAAGACCTAAATGTGAGACAGGAACCATCAAAACCCTAGAGGACAAAACAGGCAACAATCTCTTTGACCTCAGCTGCAGCAATTTCTTACTCCACATGTCTCCCAAGGCAAGGAATATAAAAGCAAAAATGAACTATTGGGACCTCATCAAGATAAAAAGCTTCTGCACAGCAAAGGAAACAGTCAGCAAAACTAAAAGGCAACCAACGGAATGAGAGAAGATATTTGCAAATGACATACCGGATAAAGGGTTAGTATTCAAAATCTATAAAGA